AAATTTGGATTATACAAAGGAAGCCCCATATACATTTAACTAGGTTCTGTATAAGTTTGAATAATTCATTTAACTTCCTCATGAAGCAGCTGTGTCTCAATAGATTACAATTTTAGAATAAGAAGCAAAGGGTAGGCTATTTGGATCAAAAACTAAACCTAACTTTCAAAAGATAGTCATGTTAGTCCAGTAGGGCATGGAAATTTCTACACTTCAGAAAGACTTTTCTTATGGCCAACCCAAATCCTACAACTGGAAAATAGTTAATTTATTTTTTACTTCTGAAGCAAAAGAACCAGAATTCACTTTATTCTTTCCTCTATGACCATAGCAACCTTCCATCATTTTTGTTGTAATTCCACGCCAATACACTTTCTATTTCCCCTCTTATTCACACATAACTTTCATTCATCCGTCTGTATTCTTTCGGTACCACTCACATTCCTATACAACTGTCTCTGTGCTAAAAAATTTATATAATCATAAACCCACAACATATAATGATTTAAGCATAGTGTATGCACAAACCAAATAATAATTTCATTTTACAATAAAGATCGAATATAAAATCAGATTGTCAAATAGATTGTCAGCAGCTGGCTAGATGATGAGGGGAGCAGCAAATGAAAAACTCACTAAAATAAGTGACAGAGAGAATTCAGGGAATAGGTATCTTCTGGGTAAGGAAAAAGAGACAACATTGATGAAGAAAAATAGGTAAGGAAGGAAATAGAGAAGATGATTATACATTGCAGACAATTTTCCCTATCTCGGGCTTCGCAGAGACTAGAAAAACAAGAGGTCTTCAGGTGAATGTGCCTGAAGTTTGCTCTCTGCTCCCCATCAGTAGGATTGTATTTTGAAAGAATCTCCCTCTTTGCCATAAATGAGGGTGAACAGGTACCCAAATACTTAGAATGATTAATTTACCTGGTTCTAGGCTTTCTTTAGGACAACAAGGTTTCTAAAAGCCACTTAAAACCCCAAGCAGAGAGCCAAGATTGTGACTGCTCCTAACCAAATTCCATCCCACACCCTGCCCCTGCTCTCTGTTTCTTCTGCATATTACCAACTTATGGATCTGCCACAGAACTGGATATTGTATAGTCTTTACCATTATAAATTTATGTCTACTACATGGAGGTTTGGGCCATAGAAAAATAACCGATCTTGGAAACAGATAAAATCACCTAGCCTTGCAGTTCTCCAATCTCTACAATTTGTTCTGTGACTTTTAATCTTAGTGGTGTCTTTATGCATATTTTAACTGTTTTAATTGTCTCTGGGATTTTGTAAGTCACCTAATATTTGATGAAGTGGGTGGCCCTAAAAATTGAAAGATCTTGAAATGACTCAAGAGGAAGGCAATAACTGAAACATGTTAAAAATTTAAAAATGGTAGTTTAAAGCTAAAAAGAAACCCCACATCTGGATTAGAAATCTATAAGCCCCTGCATTTTATCTGTTTTTACAGAGGACAGCTAGATAGTTACAGGATATCATAGCACTTACAACATTTAAGCCTAAAAAATACGTATGTCTTCCTTGCTCTATATTCTCAAGATCAGAAGCTGCTGCAGGTTCTCTTCTGCTGTTTGTCTGCTTCCTAAATGTGGCACCTTTTCCTCATACATGCTGCCAAATAATCTACTTGAAAACAGTGAGCTGGGAGAAAGGCAACTAGGGCCCCCAGCAAGACAAGTCAAGATGAGAGTGTTGATGATCCATGGCTTACAAGTGGTTGGTCTGCATCCAGGGAGAAAGCTTTTTAAAAGGCAGTAATTAATATTGCCATCAATATTTATACTTTAAAAAATTACTCTTTGAATTTATTTTTTATTATATTTGGAAACATAAATTATCTAAAGGAATCCCTGCACTTTAACATGAACATTTAGTACAGTATCTTCTTTTAAGCGGAAGTGTTTTTCTCTTAGCGCTGCTGTAGGAATACTTACTTCAAATATTATTTCTCACCTGAAGGGGGCAGATTACATTTTAAGTGAGATTGAAAGAGGCTAATGGGGAAGCAGATATAGTTTTGATGTCGTGGGTGTGTCTAGCAAGATGAGTGGGAGAAAATTGAAACTTCTTTTCAACCTTATGGGCAGAGCTGCAACCAAGCAGTAAGATATTTGGCCAAAAAGAAAAAAAAAGAGGGGGAGGGAGTTTGTAATATTTTAAAGTGAGATATTTCTTTTAAACAGTAATGGTTCTTCAGAGTTTCTCAATAGTTAATTCCCGCCCCCACCCCCCCAAAAAAACCATTGCCCTGAAAATTCAGATAGATAATATGTTTTCTCTTATGGGAACAGACCTATTGCAAAAGGTCAGGTGGTGATTGAGAAAGTGTTAGTTACGTTCCTCCTGTTCTGGTTATATTTATAAGGAAAGAGAAAGTGATAATATAAATAATAAACCTGCAGTGATTAAGGTGTTAGGGAGGGAGGGAGAAAGAATCATAATTAGATTGGCCATTATTGAGAATTCTGGGGAAGAATAAAACTTTAGATATGTGGAGGATACTGAGGCTGGGGAAGACTGACACAGTTGAGGGAAGCTAGGGAAATAAAATATTAATTTCAGTTAATGAATTTATGGAAAAAAGATTCTCACTTAGGTGTCTCTATATTGGGAGGCCAGCTACAGTAGACCAGCTACTCTAGATGATCAGAAATGGATTTAGAAACAAAGCTAAATGTCCCAAGAGCATGTACTGTAGATGGCTCAGAATTTAAGTAATAAAAAAAAATTGGTTAGCTAAGTGAAAAGGTGGCAGGGCAGAGATGGTGAATGCGAAGTAATTCTAAACACAGACACCTTCCTAATTCACTTGAGGTTAAGGCTACTTTCATTGTCTACAAGCAGCTGAGTCCTGGTCTCGTCTGTGTGGTGGTGCTGAGAACAATCTTTTAAATCTCATTGTGCTATACCTCATTTGCTTTTTAAGCTCATTTAAATTAGGAAGGTGTCTTAGCATCTTCTGCAAACTTTTGCTTGTTTTTTTTCCTTGTGGTTTTTTAAAGATCTCATTCATCTCCATCAAAGTCTTTTTTCTTATTATTGCAATATCTTGAACTTGAAGAACAATTTTTAACAAATGTACAATAATGGCGATTAGAAGTTCATGGTAGAATAAGTTAACAAAGGAAGTTAATTTCTATTTGGTCTCAGTCTTTTCCAATAAGGTAGCTTCTTATGGTCCACTAGGTGATTATAAAGAGCAAAATGAAGGGCTGTAGTTTGAGGTTAATACACATATAACAAAGAACACTTGCTAACTTCAAATGAGTTTTAGTCTAGAGGATGAATTATATCCTAACATATAGAAGACAGTGACCATGTTGTCCATTATCTTTCAAAAACATTGGACAACAGGTGAAAAGCCAAATGACTGAAAGAGGGCAAGCATTGCTTGTTCTCCAGAAGAACGAGGGAAATTACAGGTGAGAGTATGGCATCTACCTGGGACAATTCTAGATCAGAGTATCTTGCAATGATATAAACCCTTTGGAAGCAATGCAGTGATTATCAGCATGGAATGGGAATCACTGGCTTTATGAAAAAGATCACAGAATTTCAATTATAATTATAGTATAACATTGAAGTACAAAAGGCAAACATGGGCTGTATCAAGGAAAATAAGGTTTCTGAATCACAGGACTATTATTTCCTGTATCTACTAAGCTCTTCTTAAGATTTTAATAGTGTTCTGGGAACCATGCTTAAGAAAAGTTGAGAAAAAAAACACAGAACAATGTCACAGAAGTACAATCAGGAAAGTCATTGGAAGGAATGAAAAATATTTGGAAGAACTGTACAAGATATGGTAGTATCTCAAACATGAAATAGAATTATGGTAACCTCATTTTTTTTCTGGCTGTATTTTTAAGTTAGAGACCCATCTGTCCTCCGTTACAGCTATTGAAGCTTGTACAGCATGAGTAAAAATGCCATTATTTTCATGGCTGTAGTTCTCATGCCCCCAGAAGGGTAGAGGAAACCATTCAGAAAACTGCCATTACTTACAATTCCCCTGGAAGACTAACACCCGTCATCTTGCATCATTCTTGGGATTTTCAGAGGGGGGAAAAAAAGGCAATGCAAAGTGACATTGAAAGACACTGTTTTGCCTTCCTCCCCAATGGCTGTTTCTCTGTAGCCAAAATCTGATTGGGGATTTCAGATCTGTTTTTCAGCACTACTTTTACCCTCATTCTCCCACACAAACATACACTTACCCTCATTGCTGCTCCAATTAACATTCCCAGAAATTTTTGGAGAAAGTTGTTTTCTAAAGCTAGTGATCACACAGTGTTGGTTTTTTTTTTTTTGTGTGTGTGTGTGTATGTGTGTGTGTGTGTGTGAGAGAGAGAACATTCCCCAAGAGGAATATTCTGGCATGTCTTTTAATGGAGTTCAGAACATTGGTGTCTTTGATTTTGGAAAGCTTTAATTTTAGATCCAATGTTGAGGCTGGCTGAAAACATCTTCATTACATTACTACATGTAGGTGATATTCATATGAATTTTCCCACTGACCTCTGAAAGACTCAGGAAGGCTAGGCTGGGGAAATGGCATAACTCCACGTTATGCAGCAAGTTTTCTCCATCATGGAACCTTCTCTTGGACTTCAGAGTTTAGCAGGATCTACCAACACCTTTCATGGGTGGCCGTTAAGTTTGACAATATTTGTTACTGCAATAGCAGTAACATTAAGAAGACAGATATCTTTACCTGTTTGACCTCAAAACTATTCTGCCTCACTGCTGCTACTCCTTCTGCAACTGACTTTCAACAACATTTAATATCCATGTTAAAGAACTGAGAGAAAGTTAAAAGAAATATTTTCTATTAATGAAATACAGTGCACAATGGATCTTTTATTCTGTGGTAACATTTTAATTCAAGGGAACAAGATGCTACATGTTGTAAAGCATTGCTATTTAGATTCTTCATAATTACAAAGGTCATATGTATTTGAAAAGTCCATAATTACCTCTGTTAAGTGACGCTGAACTGTTTATATCACCAGTGATGAAGGAGGATTCTGATTGCTTTCGAACAGTGTCATTCCACATCCTGCGAATTCGGCTCTGCAGAAGCACAAGAAGAAGGGGCAGAAGATGAATATCAAGCAGAGGATCCATAGGAAACAACGACCTGCTTCTTTCTGTGTCTGTGGAGATGGCTTCTGGCAGTGCAGGAAGTAAGCAAGGTGTTTTGATTTTCTCTCTGAAATTGTTCTTTCTGGGCAAAGAGCTCCCCCCTTCATTTCCTAGGGCAAGGGTGGACGATATGCAGCTTACATGAACGCCCTCCAGAGATGCCCACAGTGGGTCAAGTTGAAAGTCTTGGACCTTTTTTTTTTCTGACTTGGGGAAACCAAGTGCATTAAATCTTTCAGAAGCTCATGCACTTATAAGACCACCTAACACCTACCCTGGAACAAGGGGGGGGGGGTCGCTTGTTCCTTTTCAAGAATGTTTTGGGGTAAAACATGTATGTTAAAGTTTAAGACAATTTCCACTTCTTAGAATTCACCAAAAACTCAAAAAAAGCTTATTGTCTTCAGCCCCCTCACTCTATAACAACACAAATTCACAAACCTTTCTTTTTGTCCCTTAAACAAGATAAAAAGTAACAAAGTGGACTTCAAGTCAGAAAGTTACCCAAAACTATGTGAATAAATTCATCTAAACCAGGATTTTTTCCCCCCAAATTGGAAACTTGCAAGCAGTACAAGTTCCAGTTCAGTAAAGGAGTTAAAATGTTGTCTTTAGTTTTACCCTTAGCCACAGAAAATTCCTGGCTGAGAAAAGGTTGACCCTTTTCTCTTAGTCCAACCGCACAAGTCATTGTTGTGGGAAAAGATACGAGGAGGAGATATGCTACTTACGGTACCCTGAGCTCTTGAATAAAAATCAGTAGGTAAATAAAAACAAAAGTGTTTCCCACTCAGTTAATGTAATGAAAACATAATACTCATTCTACCTCTCCAACATTCAGACTGTCACTAGGAAAGTAAGTGATATTGTTGAATGCAAGTATCTGAGATAACTGCTCAGATAAATGTAGAATAATTGTTTATAAATTGATATATAAATTGAAATGTATGTTCAATTCCCAAGTCTAGAAATGTAATGAGGAGAAGAAATATGGCATGCCTGATGCTTTATGTTTAAAATATTCTGAGAAAAAATTAATGCAGTAATTTGGATTATATTTTTCACTAGTTACATTAATATTTCATTTGCAATGAGTTTCAGCATTTTCCATAAACCTTTTTGGCACTAAATTCTGTTAATGAAATACAATGTATACATACATGTACAGCAAACAATTTCAGAAGAATAAAATATTAATTCTCAAACTGAACTCAAAAGACAACTTAATTTTGGCACTTTTATGCCACCCTTCAAAGAAAGGTAAGATGTATATCTGGTAAAAAACCTGATTTAAATTTAAATTTAATTTAAGTTTAAATTCCAGCTTTCTTCTAAAGTATTTAGATTTTATGTGTTCTAGTCTTTAAAAAATAAAGGGAAATACGTTCACAAAGAAATCACAAGTAGCCTGAAGACAAGCACCCCCACATAAAAGTGTTCAACCACCACCCTGCCCCAAAGCCTGGGAGAGCAGCCACATTGAGATCCTGAAAATTTTCAGGGTGGGGTCATCTGGATCTCAATGTGTGTGTGGTGTGTGTGAGAGAGATGTGTGTGTGTGTGAGAGAGAGAGAGAAGGAGGGAGGGAGGGGGCAGGGAGGAGGGGGGAGAGATAGAGAGATTTTTCCAGAAGACAGGTGTCACCAGAACAAAAACATGTTTCCAAGGTCCTACAAGATTTCACAGTTTAATCAACAGGACCCAAAACATGTCCACTCTGCCAGAACTCGTTGGACAGACAAAACAATTGGAGGCATGCTGTCCTGGTCTTATGCCAGGAAGGGCTCTATAGATGATGCCTGACACCTTGGATTGCACTGCCAATTGACAGTTTATTTTGTGTAGCAATGGGTTGACGGTGGCCTAATGAAACCTGCCACCATTGCCTGTGCTGTTGCATTCTTGCTAACTGTAGCTTTCAGATAATCTTCGAAGGTAGCCCCCATGTAGTAATTATAGCCCCCATTATAGCAATCCTTTCATTAGTAACTAAGACGTGAAGGATCTCTCAGGCCAGGAAAGGGCACAACTGCTACATAAGAAGTATGTGCACAAAAGCCTTCTTGGCCTTTGCTATCATCTGTTTGGTAAGTATGAGCTGGGAGTATAAGAGTCATTTGGTTGAGCTTTGTGGTTATAGAAATAAATAAATAGATAAATAGATAGATAGGTAGATAGATAGGAAGGAAGGAAGGAAGGAAAGAAGGAAGGAAGGAAGGAAGGAAGGAAGGAAGGAAGGAAGGAAGGAAGGAAGGAAGGAGGAAGGAAGGAAGGAAGGAAGGAAGGAAGGAAGGAAGAAAGAATGAATGAAAGAAAGAAAGAAAGAAAGAAAGAAAGAAAGAAAGAAAGAAAGAAAGAAAGAAAGAAAGAAAGAAAAACAACCCTTGGTAATCCATCATGCTTGGATGACTACATGCAACCATCCACAATAAAAAATGGAAGATCCCAAGACCCAGAGCCCAGCTATTTGCAGTCACTCATTCTTGTTAGGACTGAGCCTCAGTCTCAATCCTACATCCAGACCACATCCAGACCTGGGTAGCTTTCAGAATTTGGGACAAGACCTTGGTCGTATCACTTGGATGGCCTCAGCCCAAGATGCATAATTGTTTTATCATCACTTTAGTGATATTAACAAACCTCAAGCCAGTCACAGAGAGTCACTACCCACACCAGTCACTACCCACATCATCAAGAAGCACAACTAACGCTGTCTCCATTGGCTTAAAACCCATCTGAAATGAGTGCGCTCATATTCAATCTAGACTGGGCAGATAATAATAGCGAATATTGATAGATCTATCTGTCAATATCTCAGCATCCACATTTATCAAGGAATGAGAATTAGAACAGGATAGACTTATAGGAGAACCATTTTTTAAAAATGGTTAAGATGCAATAAAATAAAAGAAATTAAGATTTTTTTGAACCAATCAATTGGAAATCCACCACTTTAGGAGCTGTTTCCAATTTAATAGATTTAATATTGAAATTTATCTATGCAAATTCCATTTCTATGGAAATTTCTCTACTGTTTCTAATTTTGATGACAAAAATGATGAAAACTGCAACTGTCATAGCATATGTTCAGCATATTCAGACTACTGCACAGCATATGTAAGTAAGTAAGGGGAGAGTTTGATTAAGCACATAGTTTCATTATGTCCTTTCCTGCCCCTCCCCCCACAGATAACAATAGCTCTTTGTTGGCTTACTGGTTTTTAAAAATACTTTTAAAAACAGGCTTTTAAATGAATATTTTTAATTTTGGTTTTAATTAACTGGCTTTCATTCCGAGATTAAATTCATTCCGAATTTAAATTTAAAAATATTGTTCATGCACAATAACATCAGCATGACTGTGGCTGATTATTGTTATATACAATTTAGTAAAATATCTGTCAAAAGTGCTTATTTATTAGTTTTGCAAGAATAAAATATAGTTATACTATATTTTATTTTTATACTATATTTTATAGTATATATATATTATATATATATAATAGTTTTGCAAGAATAAAATATAGAAATAATGTTTCTAATTATAATCTCTACATATAGTTTTTTTGTCTTTTTGTATTAGGAATCAATAGTAGTATAATTTTAGTAATTCAGAAGTGTGGAAATAAAGGGTTATTACAGGTAAAAAATTGATTCAAATCTGCCATATGTCTGTCTATCTGTCTGCCTCTATCTATTATTACCTAGAGGTAAAATGTTACTATGGTACTCCAACACAAAGATTGTTTTTCCTCTGCAGAAATTTCAAACCAAACTAAGAACCTAGTTATTCAGCGCTACAGAAACCTGGAAAGTTGTGAAATAGTTATGATGTTATGATAAAAAAATAGCATGCAATAAATAAAACATTAGAGGTTCCTTCTTCTTGGCAGATGCCTGTAAGGCAGGACATAAAAATATATTAATTTTAGAGAAATAATGATACAAGTTTTATAGATAGTGAAATATGTGGTATTAGCAAGAGAAAGAACAAGGAAGTGTGAAACGCTAAAACCACAAGGATCATCTGTCAGTCACAAAGTCATATTTGCCAAGATATCTTGTCTCGTTTGTAACAAAACCACAAGCTAGGGAGTTTAGTAAGATGGGTTTGTGACATCCAGCCATCCTAGCCTAGCAAGAGGGGAGGGGGAAAGCTGTGTTTCAAGTAACCAATGAATGACTGACAAGTTATATTTCTTCTGTGTTTTGCCCCTTCTGAAGAAGTATATAGGCATGTGCTGTTCTATAAGAAAGTTGTTCAGAAGTGACTCTCACTAAAATACTGTGAACTTGTTTGCGCAAATAAAACCAACTTATTTTTGGATTCCAAGGTCTGGGTCTCGTAATTTCCTTTCAACACCTGGGCCTTAAAAATTCTCAATACTCTGCTACAGTGCGATCTAGAAAAATCATGTTAAGATTCATTCATACCCTACTTGATCTTCTTTCTCTCACAAGCATACTTCAAGATTTTTGTTTTCAAATTTTGACAAAGGTCTGTCAAAACTGAAGCAAGGAAACGGATAGAACACAAAGAACACCTGTGAACAGGTAATATTTCATTATATATTATTTTTTTATATACGGGCTCTAGATGACTTCGCCTAACCTCCCAAATCTGCAAACAAAATGGCAACAAAAAGATAAGGTTCCAAAAGTAACCATTTTTGCCTGCAAATTCTGGTTAAGTTCTAATTTTGCTGCATATCACTCAGCATGAACTTGCTCCCACTTGTGAAATTTTGGGTCGAAAATCCTTTCACAAGATACTAAATTATGTTAAGGCTATGAATAACATTAGCACTTTTTGACTGTTTTATCTGTTCTTAGCATTTTTTAAAAGAACACTTACTTTTTAATATATTTATTATTATTGGTTATTCTGTATTTTAACAATAAGGAACTTAACTAATGAACAATTAATTAAGATTAACAAACAATCTGGCTAAGAAACATTACAAAACCAATCACATTTGCAGGAGTGCAAATTACTCAGATAAAGGCGTTGGAAAATTTAAAAGAAAAAGAATGATGCTTGAAGAATACCAATATTGAAGGCAGCTTTGGTTTTCCTTAGGGCCACTGAAAGCATCTTTTCCAAGGTCCCCCCAGCCCCCCAATCAGTCTCCCTGCTATTTGCTGGTCAGCCAGCAGATCAAATCTTTAACAAGTGAGAACCATGTGGAAGCAGTGCCCTTCAAAGTATCCTGAGCTGTTAGGATTGCATGTGTTCCAACCAACACTTTAAACCTTGTTCAGAAATCTTCTATTAATCAGTGGAGAACCAGTGTTCAAATATGACACCATGTCATAGAAGTCCATTCAATGCCAAAGCAACAAAATGTGCATTCTGACATAGTACTGTGACACAATACTGTCATGACATCAAGTGCATGTACATAATCTGTGCTGCTTTGTTGCAGTGTTCTCTCTCCCTCTCCCCCTCCCCACCCCCCCACACACTCCGGAGATGCTCATGTGCTGTTTCCTAAATAAAGGTAAAGAAAGAAAACTCCTTATGCATTTCAATGCAAAAGTACATTTGCAACCCCCCTCCAAATAATTCTTGAATCTGTTTGTGTACTTTACCAACTAAAAACTGAAATGTTGAACGATCAACACCAGAGAGTGGAGAGACGAGTCTCTGGTGTGGTGTCCAGGGACACAAGTTGACCCACCAATTCCATCTGTAAAGCAGCTAGCATGAAGCATTTCTCAGCACTCTATACCGAGATTCTTGTGGGGGAAGTCTGACCAGGGTTTCAGTGTACCCTTCCCCTTTCTGCAATCGGAAGGTTATATAAAGGAAGAGCCCCTGTTTGCAGGAAAAGAGAGAAGACCAAGCCAAAAAGAAAGTGGCAGACAAATACTTGCTAAACAGCAGAAGGTAAGAGTTATAGGTCCATTTTGGGGATAGGGACAGAAAGGCAAGGGAAGAAGGCAATTCCTATAAGCAGGCCTTTCATTATAAAAAGCTTTACACAAGTGAGTGTTCAATCTCGTTTGTTTTTAAACATTCTTCCTAAAGTTTAACCTACTCATGTATTGTATCCCTATGCTACTAGCCTTATCACTTATAATCCAAGATCCTAATTTATCTCTTAGCCAGTAACTAACATTTTATGCTGTGTTTTCTGTGCTATATACTTATTGCAAAGTATATTTTTTCACAGTGAAAACTTGCTTCAAGGTCACATAGTGTGGATTAGGTAGAATGAGCTATCTAGCATTTGGTCCTGCGGTCGGATAGGATTTGCTGGGTTTTCAGAGACTCTCTTCTGCTGCTTATAACTGCTCTGGGCCTGAAGCTGTACCCTTAGACCAGAGGTCCCCAAACTTGGCAACTTTAAGATTTGTGGATTTCAACTCCCAGAATTCTTCAGCCAGCATAGCTTGACAAGTTTGGGGACCCTTGCTTTAGATACTGTACATTCTTGAAACCTCAAAGGAGTGGTTAGTCTTTGGGTTGCTCTTCAATGCTGGCACTGTGAGCTGGTGCACTACCAGTGACTAAACTTCTGTTAAAAGCTTGGGTCCTCTGATGTCCCTATAGACCACTGCTGCCATCATTCTGGCGTTACTCTCTCCCTTTCATGGCTGCTTCTGCTCTCTCCTAGCTCTTCAGGGCTTGAGTTTTCTTTCTTCGTTTATCTCATTTCCTTCCCAACAATAAAACCTATTCTGATGTATTAGAACCCCTTTTAAAGGACAAGCTCAAAATAGGAAAACTGCACCAGTGTTTTATCTTTTGTTTAATGTAATGTCACTATTTTAGTCTTTTCTGGAAGCACATTATAGGAGATGGACAAGTTAAGTCTGAGGCAGCAGTTGATAATGAATAACAGGAGCAAAGGAAGATTTGGTATTTATTGTGAAGCAAATTGGCAGAATAATGGAGAAGAATCTGAGATCAGCACCCTGAAAGGCACTGAAAGAGAATTCTGAGTAACTTCATGGACATACTACAAAAAAGGGGCTACAGCATTGCAAGTTGGACTATAGAATAAAAAAAGGGAAGAAGTGTGTGTGTGGGGGGGGGTGGAATAAAGCACGGCTGTTCATAGAATTTCACTCACCAAGACACTAAAAACATTTTATTATGGCTAATCTGACCAGATCTGGTAGCAGTTGATACATTTTCATTCCTGCCCACCAAAATAAGCAAGACACATCAGAGCCATTCAATGCTCATCTACTGGTGAGGAATGGCGTTCCCCATTTTCTCTGTTTTATATTCATAAACAAATCCCTTCCCCACAAAAGAAAGTAAAATAAGTATCCCACCTTTCTATAACAGTGGCATATTTGGGGGATTGGATGGGATGAAACGGGCTCCAACTCAACCCTAATAAAGCAGAGTTGCTATGGGCTCTTGGATCCTGTGGAGACAAGGATTTTCCATCCTTAGTTGTGGATGGGGTTAGTGTAGACCCTGTGCACAATCTGGGAGTCTGGGGATCCGCTCTGGGGATCCAGGGATCTGCTCTGCATGGGGCTACCCCTGAAGAAGATTCAAAAACTTCAACTGATGCAGAATGTGGCCGCATGGCTAATAAAAGGTGCCAGATATACAACACACACATAACATCACTTCTGCATGAGCTGCATTGATATGTTCCTGGGTGCAATTTAAGGTGGTGATTGTCACCCTTAAAGCTCTACATGAGTTGGGACTGAGTTACCCAAGGGGCCACCTGTTTTCAAGAATCTCTACCCGAATGTGGTATATTTACACATCTTTTTTTAGCCTGTCTTCTTTTTACTGGTTGCAGGGTGTGTTATGTGTGTGTGAAAAGTCCAGTCCTTTCTGATAATCTCTCACTTGGTTTAACCATTGATATACCTGTTGTACATTCAGATAGGAAATGGTGAACCAGCCAGGATTTATAGGAGCTTGCCCTTCTCATTGTATACAGAATGTTTATGGATACTGTGACCAGTGAACAGAAATATCTGTTTGAAAATATATGTGTGTGTTTGAAAATGTTACACAATGGAGCAGATGAGACAAGGAAGCTCAATTGCAAGCTGCAATCCATGCTGGGACAAGACAAAATGAAGCTGATGTGATCTGTTCAAGTCTCTCAATGAAGCATTTCTGCCTATGGTTAACAATTTGTGTGGAAGAACTCAAAGTCGTACCAATTTCTTTCTTTCTTTCTTTCTTTCTTTCTTTCTTTCTTTCTTTCTTT